TCTGGTGGGAACACCGGATCAGCAATTCTGAAGTACGTCGAATGGTATTCGGGAGAAATAACTCACCCTCGATAGATGAACTGATCACACTGCACAGGTTGCGTTGGCTTGGCCACGTGTTGCGTACGCCAGTCGACCGACTTCCTCGAAGGGCTCTTTTCGCCCAACCATGTGAAGGTTGGAAGAGAGCCAGAGGCGGTCAAACAATGATTTGGCAGCGAAGTATGAAAGCCATTACCGGCAAACTCAGCTGCGCTGGTCGCTGCCGTCTTCCTGGATGGGGACCCCGAGACGGGCCACATCAATGGCTGGCGACATTGTCAGACATGGCCCAGTCGCGCCCTCAATGGCGCTCGTGCATGCAAGCTATTGCCTTCAATGCATAGCTCCTTTTCCAACCCCCCACTTGACAGCCCACTGGCAGTGCTGGATTTATGCACTAACTTACCAGTTCGCGCCTGCAATGCGCAGCTACCTACCCCCTCCCCCAAATCATCGGTGAACGAAACTGCGGCAGCTGCAATCACTGTATGACGAGTACGCGGTTATTACAGCTGACAATGATGACGATGACGTCAGCACTGCGCAACTGGATTTGGACCTCAGCTAAGCAGCCCGAATGCGTCACTGGTACTCCACCAGTACCCACTGGAAGCTCGTGAGTTATTGCGTTTGAACTATAACTCTGGAACCATTATGGTTGCGTCGACTGACCCATCTGCCTCAATAAAGGACTCTTCAGAAGGTTTTCAGTAAAGTTTCCGCAATACCGGAGAGCCTATTTAAGGCAAACAGGCGAGATTTCTGTAGAGAATATGAACCCACCGGGGTGACACCTCACCCTAAGGTGGCAGATATCCTCTGTTGGAGGAAGGAACTTAGGTCAGTAACCCCTGACTTAAAGAGTGTATAGCACATATCACTTCAAGTCTCGACGTTATCAATTTATGAAATCTATAATCGTATTGCGGAACGAATTGCATAAAATAATTACCATCGGTACTGTACTGTGGCTAGTTTTGGTACAGAAGGACGAAAAAATTCACAAACAGAAGAACTAGATGATGGCTGAGATACGAATAAGTATCCAGTGACAAACTATAAGGCGGAGCTTATCATTGACTGTGACGTTGCTTCACATCTGGAAGTGTCTCCAACCGTCGGTGAGGCTCATCGGTCAATCTACAACTTGCAGTGCGATGCCTTCAAGGAGTCAAACTGGGGCTTTTGTCCTCGACCGGCCACCATTCTGTTATCTCCAGTCTGATTAGGGCTTGACAGATAACTTATGAGTTGAGAAGTGCCGTCCCTACTCGGAGGCTGTCGTATCACGAGCGTATACCATATTTTCGGTATTTACAGTACGTTACTGGTCCCTAGCTGCCGTATGTTCTCGTTACTTAATCCTATGACCACCGTTGGTCGAGTTGGTTGACAAAGGCGAGGATTGCTAAAAATCAGTAGCTGATTCGCATTTTTCCGGAAAAGGGGCCGTGTTGACACACAAAGGGCAAGTCCTCCCAGAGTAAAACGAAGCTAACCACGTAAGCGTGAAAACAGCTAGGTTCGGAGCTGGTTTACTCAACTTGCACAGCGTGCTTTCACATTTGCTAACACCAACAAGTGTGATATTATTATTTACTCAGCGACACCGAACTCATTATTCTGGCACTCGGGGAAGGTAATAGTGAACTGGCTACTCATGCGTTCTTGTTTTCCATCTAAGAGTGAATGTAAAACGTGGCAATGGTGGAATCTTCTTGTTAACACCTCACGCCGATGGATCGTTTTAGTATTCGGTGTGTACTATATCATGAGGATCGATTGCATACGGACAGACAAAAGGGTCGTATATTGCTCGCTATGAGAAGTGAAAGCACGTTACTTTCATTCATGACTTTGCCTGTATGTTTATACACAAATATTCCCAGAACGGTAACTAAGATGACAAGCCCTTCTTGTTCTCGCGACTCAAAAGAGCCTTGCTGAAGTTTAGTTCGTTTCTCTTAGGATCTTGAGCTGTTGGTAACAAATTCTCCTTCACCCTTGAATCTGTAACCTGGATCCTGATCGGAGGGATATGTTGACACTCACCCACTACCAAGGACTTGCACGAACTCGACGCGCATTGTCGTTTTGGATTCGATCACATAGTGTATTCAGCATAAATTTAAATGCAGCGGCATGTGAAAATTCATGTGGGATGACAAGAACTGTTGTAGAATATTTGCTCTGCTTAATCCTCCACGCATGAAAGTTATTAGCCTCCAGTGTTCTCTCGAGTGTTGCACGTCAAATCAAAATGAACTCACTCGCGATTCGAGTGGATTTAGAAACTTTGCTTACATAGTTTTTCGGAATTAAAAACGAAGACAGAAATCGACAGCCCATCTATCTGCATGCTTGGCCATACGATCATGTTCAAGGCCAAGGCATTAGACAAATGGGGTACTGTGCCGGATTCGATATTCCTGCATTCGGTAACCATACACTTGATCACAATTTCATCTTATCGTTTTGTATCATATCAAGCTTCGCTTGCTCTGATCTTTTCAGCCATTGATGCCCTTTTGGGATGTCCATTGTTACTATTGCCATCGGGACATCTACCCGATTCGGATGCAGCGCAGGAAGTACACCTGTTGGATGCAGTTAGGGAAGAACCTCAATTGATTTTGCTTATCATCAATTGGTGTGTGGAGGCTGTCAACGTGTTTTCTCCTCTATTTGTGGCTCATTTTGCTTCGAGTGAGAAGCAAAGTGAAGGAAGGGATTCCAGTGCTGCTTCTCAGGCTGATCGTCACAGCTGTGGTGACAACGAAAGCTGCCCCATACGTTTACAACATCCCACTGTTCTAAGTCGTCTTGCACAAATCGCTCATTTGAGAAACCGATTGCATGTGTGTCTTCTTCGGCTCGACCATCAGTGTCCAGTTCCTTTGGACTGTTCACAAGATCAGCCCACTGTGGAGACCCAGCGCCTGGCTGACTTGTGTCTCCCAACAGCGACTTTCGAGCCTGGACGGACATGGGATTCTCATCCATCAAGAGCGGATTCAGGTCGCTTCCCCTGTTTCACCTGTGGAATCCACCTAGTTTCCACGGCCAACCGTAATCAGGTTCCCAGGTCAGTCGGTTACTGATTGCCATGTACGTGGATGTTCAGGATGAAATTGAGATGATTCTAGACAGAATACATCTTGAACTACATAAACATTTCCGCCTAATGTTGCAGGATTTCGTGGTAGGTTGTATGTTGATACATTGGCTTCACTTCATCGTAACAAGTTGTGAGTCAGAGCGCTTATATATGACGGAACGGGTTACGGGGCTGCGCTCGAAACACCCCTTTTCTAAAGTAGTTGTAAGCTGATATATTGAGTGTCAGTTGGGACAATATGAAGAAAAACGAAACCAGTAGATAAGCTGTTATGAACCAGATTCCAAACAGTTGCAAATTAAGCTGGTGTTTATGCGACACTCAGCTGAATCCCAGTTGAATCTCGTTTTTGATATTCTTCTACTGAATTTACTGCATAAAGGTCGCTTAGTGTTTCAGTTGGTACGATGTACGAGAAATCGCGATGGTTCTTCTCGCCGGAACACGCTACTGGTAGGGTTGCAAAAAAGGAAGTTCCTAATTTGTACTGTGACTCGGGACCCACACGGCTGGTACATTTCCTATCCTCTTATTTCACCATGTGAACCTCCATAGTATGTGAGAGCTTTTTTGAGGTTTCTGTGTCCATTAGTTCGTCAAACGATTCACTTGGCATGGGTTGGAATAGCACAAGAACATAACAAAACTCTACACAATGGGATTCTCCGTAGCCACCTTTTCCGACCGGGATATGGATATAATGATTCCCTCCCGTCATTGGATAAGCTTTTCGTCAGTTAAGTTTCACGGACCATTCATTGGTAATCCTCTGGAGGATATTCGTTCCGATAGCTCTTAGATAAACTGGCACTTCCCTGACGCAGCATCATGCCAGTTTTTTTTTACTGTGGATACAAAACACATTCTATGTTGCGGGAGAGGCCACTTTTGTAAAGCGCCACTGACTTGGTAAAGTCTAGTTGTGGCTTGAATTGCTTCGTGTGGCGAAAGCGCGTTCTAAGTTGAAAATGAATGACGCTCAGCGGAAGTACGAAACATGTGTTTTGCAATGACTGATTCGCTTTGGTGAATTTCGTTTTAACGGCACTAGTGTCAAACTATTGGACAGGAAAGTAAACGTCCCATATGCACATAGTTTTTAAAAACTGAACATTCGCACGTGTCTTCTTGGACTTTCGCGGATATTCACTGACTGCCACGCAATTGTAAACGGACGCTGCAAAGTAGTTCTGCAAGCTGTAATAAACTTCATCTTCTACTAGACGCGGGCAGAGCTTCGAGAAAACCCACGTGCATGCCTCGTCAATAGCGTCCGCCGCTACACCGTGGCCAATATTACGAAGTTGCCTTTTTTCACACTTCACATCCTCCATTTGTTTAGACTAAGCGCGGTTCGTATCCCTTCCATTAGTTAATTCCTACCTTAATGTTCAAGAATGTGGGAATCTTGACTATTTACGGGCACCCTGAGGCGACCGTCCTTACCTCACTGTTCAAGACACTGACTTTCACGTTCACAGTCTCTTCCAACTGAATCTGATTTCAGTCGAAAAACTGGCACCTCCGAAACGAAGTCAAAATGTGCCGGGAAAAAGAGGAAACGCAAATTCACTGCGCGCATCTGCAAGACCAAGCAGGGCCGTGGAGATGAATCTGAGGATGAATGCCTTGGAGGGGAAGACGCTGATAACGATGCAACGCAGGTTAATTCTGTATCATCAGATAATGAATCTATATGTGTTGATTCTGGCGGGGCACCCATGAAGAACTCAAAGAAGCTACTACCGTCAGGAGCCTCGAAATTGGCAGCCGGAAAATTAAAAGGAGTGAGGAACGCAGGACCAGTATCGGTAAGATTCAGTTGAATTGCTATGATTCATATTCTTCATTTCCGACCTCTCCCGAAGAACTCATGGGATCGCTAAAATTACTTTGGTTTCTTAGGTTTTATCCGACTGAAACTAATTTCATTCCCTGGTTGCCAAATTTTTCCTGACACCTTGTTTTTCGTGTAAGGGTTCGTATGAGTCGCCATGCATAGCGACGCTGTGGTTTCAAATAGGCGAGAACCTGGAAGCGCGTTCCTCCAACTTGCGGATGTTTCCATAGTTGGCTAGACATTGAACTTCTCAAACTAGTGAAAATATCACTGGTTTTCTTTATTGTTCTTCAATCATCTGTTGAGTTCATGGACTTACTATCCTACACAGCTCAAGATCGAAAGATGGGAAACTTGTGGTACTTCACTGTACCCTCCAACTCGTATTGTCCTGCAGTGATTGATTGTTAAGATGGCCTGTTTGTTAAGAAAGCTTGAATCTTGCCCATCTATTGTCCGGAATTTTGGAGCAATAGAACAACCCACCGCTCAGTTTTGTGATGTATGCATCAGTAACCGGGTCTGCGCGCGTGAACACTCACCAGATGTTCGAATATGTCTTGTATAAATCTGCCTGTTTGTTATGTCCTGATACAAGAATTAGTCAGGACACAGTGACTTTCGCCGGTGACTTGGAATTTGGCGTTAGTGGTGAACTCAACACAGGAACCTCGTAAGATAATTACCCTTGTTTATCAAGCTTGGATATACAGAAAGGATTACTCGTGCGGGTAATCTTTGCCAGTTTTATCCCACAACTCCTTTCAGTATTTACATCTGCTGTTCTGTTTGTTGTTTAGTTGTGCAGAGCCGAGCTACTGAAGTTCAGCGATCTCGGTACATTTACAGCCGTTTCATGCTTAATGTGTACAGGTGACTCTGCGCATCGCAACGATGGTCGGTAGGCAGTTTACTGAGTGTTTAGCCTTTTGCTTCACACTTTTCATCTCTTTTCAGCGTGTGCTATATTTGGTTTTAACACGATTTTCTTAGCCATGCAAGTGAATTTCCACCCAGGTTTTATTCAGATGTTTTCTTAGCTGGTGGCTGTTAAAAAAGCCACGGAAACAAGGGTGACACACTGTCAGTTCAACTCCGTTTCGAAATAAGTTTAGTCCCCTTAATATTGCTATTGGGTGATCGCTTCCATGTAGCATACATATTTTGACCACACTGATGGCATATGACAGCAATCCAGTTGTCACTTATAGTCCTTTTAAACTTAATTTCCTTCCTTTCCAGCCGGGTCTAACGGAATTAACTGCCTGCTTCCGGGAACTGGATATAACGTCACTATTCTTAGGCTTAAGTGCATGGCCTTGGTCTCCGACGAGACCTACTGACGCCAACTCCACGCAGTGTAGCGGACAGATGAATTGTGATCGACCATCCACACTGGACTGGACAACGTTGGCTTGGCTATTAGAAGACTTCAGTTCAAAGCTACAACATTTGTCAGGGATACGGTAAAGTACCTCAATCTATTAATTGAGACTCTGTATGACTGAGGTTATTAAGCATTGAGCGTCATCCCCGGTATATTTGTTCAGTCTCATAATCACTGTTCGCTGGCTTATGCTGGTCCCTCTCCTTGGATCACAGGAGAAGCCGGAGCATCAACGGGAATTTTTGTCTTACTGAAATTCAGTATGTTCTGTTTACCAGAGGTATCTCTATCGCGATATGTATCACAATGGATAATGTAAATGAGCTGTATTCATACTTTGGGAATTTTTTTCTTGAACTTTGGCCTACTCGAGTGGTCTCACGCTGCTCTGCGGTTTGGCTTTTGAGCCAAAGTTTTTGATTGAGGACCGTAATTGTCCTTCTGTCCAGGTTTGGGCGCCATGACTGTAGCTTATCGGCTGTGGGGTGTTGCCATTAGTTGAGTCGCTTTATTTACTGCATGCATCAGAGTGCTGAATTGAAAACGTACGGCTGCTGATGCTTCCCATCTCTCCTCGTTTCTTTCTCTAGGTGCCCTCCTTTCCTACTTGGTAATCGGTCTCTTGTAGGACGTAAGTTAGGCGCCTAGCGAACTGACACGTTGCACGTCAGCACTTACATCTTTCACTCAGTATCTGCTAATTTGACTTCTTCATTCTTTAATGCGAGAACTCAAACAGATCGACCAACAAGCTGACTTTGCGCATACTGTATATTCTCTACAAGGTGACATGCGCTACGTCTCTGAAACTTGCATACTGGACCAAATACGATTGCTGAGCCTACGGTACCCTGTCTATCTAAACACTGCGGACTATGAGCATCCGATGATCCTGTACCTGCTGCATTAGGTTGCTGCTATGTTGGTATAGCTAGCTGGGGTTTCCTTTCTGGACTGGATACCCGTAAACGGCCGGATGGACACAAAACACAGTGATATTGGTGAACGTCCATTGCAACTTTGTACTGTCATCAGTTGCTTCTTAGAAGTGCTGGGCTTAGACGCAGTGGGTGCCATTGTGCTACTCTACCTCTGAATAGTTTTAGACTCTACATCATAATCAGATACTGATGATGAGGTTCGATCCTTAGAATACATAGGTTGATTTCGATCACACTGTCGGTGCAGATTTTCATCAACATTTGCCGGTGAGCCCCAGAAACGAGGTTCCCATTCAGCAACGAAGTAACCTTGTAAGCTTCAAGTTAGGGAAACGTACCGACCGTAGGGCCACAGATTTCACTCCTGCTGTTACACGGCTACTGACTTTCCTTTTTTTTTGCGGCGCCTATTTTCGGCACGTGAGACGCAATTCCGAGAACACGAAGCAGGATTTGGGCCTGGCGAGGAATGCAATGACTATAGCTTTACATTACGTTAAGTGCTTGAACAGCGCCATAAGCACTGAGAACGAAAAGTTGACTTTAAAAGAGCCTTCAACCGTGTGGATGGGCCAGAAAAATATTCCTGGCAGGCAGATGCCCTTGACATTTGCGAACGTTCCTTGTTCTCTGTATTTCCATAGCTCCGTTTGGGTTGTGGTGTTAAAAGTTGTTCAAAATCTTCCTGACAACCAGTAGAGTCCGTCAGGACTTCCCCGTTGCTCTTTTCGTACAACTTTGTCGACTTGATCATGGAGTACTCACATCAAGGGACCATGAATCTAGGGAAGAGATCATCGGACTGGGACTGTTCGGATGACATAGTGTTGTGGTTTGACTACTTGTGTATCCGTTCTGTACCTTCAGAGTGCGAAGTCTCACTTCAAGATTTCCTGTCGTCTTATCCCATTCTGGAACTTCAGAATGGAGAATTCGGGTTTGTTGATCGGTTCACTTACCTTGCTTGTGGACGTGCAGTCACTGAACACGCCAGGGAGAGGTACTGGAAGCTGTGGAGCGTTTTACCTATCTTGAAAGTTGTATTGGTTATGATTGTAGTGTGACAGATGAGGTCAATTCACGAATCTGCAAGACTCGGGCCGCGTTTGCTAGCTTGAGACACCTATGGTGTCAGAATTGTTTATCCCTGAATCCGAAGGGATGTGTGTATCAAGCTATAGTGCGGGCTGTTTGGTTGTATAGCTGTGAGACTTGGCCTGTTCGAGCAGCGGAACTGAGACGTCTTCAGGTGTTCGACAATCGTTGTCTCAGGACCATAGGCCGTGTGGATTGGTGTCGGCGAATCCGTAACGCGGCAGTTAGAAGGGCGTTTTCGGTTGTGCAACGGGTACTTCCATTGAAGAATGTGTCCAGCACCAGAAGTTGCGTTGGTTGGGACATGTGTTGCGTATGCCGAACCATCATTTGCCGAAAAGAGTGCTGTTTTCCATGCCAAATTCAGAGTGGCGGAGGCAGAGAGGTGGCCAACCCTTGACTTGGCAGAAGGGTATGATGGAGATTACGAAACGTTTGGGTGCTGTCGGTGCTACTCGCCTTCCAGGATGGGGACTGCGTGATCCTCACTGTGCCTGGTTGGAGACACTACAAGATATGGTTACCAACCGATGTCAGTGGCGCTCTTGTCAGTTTCTATCCAGATTGCCTGAGTGAATGTCTGGAGGTGTAGGCACCCCGGAATGATTGTGTTAAGCTAGCACCTAGTTCCTTCCCTATCCACCTTTACTCTTTTCTTCATGGTAAGGCTTTCCAACAAATCATGGTTGTAGGACAGTGAAGCATCAGTGTTGGTCACTGATGTCATGCTGTCGATGATGATGATGATCACTTACCTTGGTAGCTGCGTAAACTGTAATTGTTCAGTAACATATAGAGTGAATGAGCAGATAGTATTCATCAACCTGCGTCAGCTGTGGCGTCAGAACCGAATTTCGCTGAAATGAGAAGGTCGTATTTACAGGACAAGTGTAAGAATGGATTTATTTTGTGTTTTTGAGACTTGACTTCTCCAATCCGAGGACTTTTGGTATCCTCAAGTGTTTGATCACCTGTGTCTCCGTAGCACAGCAAGAGTAAGTTGGCTGCAATGGGTCCGCAACGGTGTCTATTCGGGTACTTGGTAATGAATCCGATTCGTTAGAGTAGCAAATTAAACTTACCAGGTTGAGGTAGTTCGGGCATGTATCACGTATGTTCAGTCACTGTCTACCGCGTTGTCTGTTCCAAGCGATCCTTGGCGAAAAGTTCGCGAGGGACATACCATGACATGGCAGCGTGAAGTGGAAGCAACTACCAACCAGCTGAGTGCTGTGAGATCTTCGCGACTTCCTGGCTGCTTGTACGTAATTGGAAACCCTGAAGGACATGGCACACAACTGATCCCAGTGGTGCGGGTGCTTTCACTTCGTAATCGGGCTGCGTAGCTAGAGTTAGCCTGTTGTTGTACGCTGGGCTATTCTTGGGTCGCCCCGCTTAGCTGTGTTCATTTTGCTGCTGTCTAAATGTGTCGGTACCTTATTCTCTATCGCTCGCCTTGCAAACAAAGGGCTTGTTCGCACCAACTCCCCACCCTTCTCTTTTCTCTTCACTTTTTGCTAAGGATCTTTAGCCTCATAGTTGTATGGCATCAAAGCGTCAATATGCATTGTTGTCATAGGTGATGACGGATCTGTTTCTGTTCTTCGGTCTGTTGTTTTGATAAACAGGCGGTAATCCATTCATTGTAATAGTCGTACGTTTACACAACAGAGACTGAAATTCTAGTATTAATTCCTCCTTAACTAGCTCTTCTATCCCTCGCAACCTGATGACTGGTTAAATAATCATCATCATGAACATCAGTGTTGAAACTGACGTTTCACTGCCGTACGGCGGGTTAAAATAATACCGCATTTGCCTGAAATCCAGCCTGTTCAGTTGGTCGTCTAAGCAAACCTAGATTTCCAGGTTTGCAAACTCCCTATTAGCTATCATGGGCACATTTGCTATCGATTCCTAATTTTAATTACCATACGACAAGTCCGACTTTTTGCGCTTCAAATACTCTGGCCATCACTTCACGTCACATATGACGTGATGTGACGTCATGCCCAGCTTCATCCAACTTGGGCGGATGTCCACGTTCCCGTTCAAAATTCCAACTATCTATGCTATTATGTTTGTTAATAACTTAATTATATGGTAGGACGGTTTGTCCGAATAGGTGCATTCGGCACTGTGTTTTGATATCAGTGTTCGGAATATCAGAGTAGTCAAACTTTCCAAAGTGTTATGTACTGAGTCCTAATTAAACCCAGTCGTATGATCTCGGATATTGCCTAACCCATTCACCCCAACTGCGTAATACGACGTGTAGGACGTGCTAACTGTACTGATCTTACGTTGTTTGTATTTTCTTCCCGTAATTCGCTCAGTCAATTCAATATTATATGCTAATACGACAACCCATGGTGGTTGTTTAGTAGTGTTCAGGTTAAACACACATGCCTGCGGATATTGCAGAACGTGCTACGGGGGTGCGAAACACTGATACTTTCAAAACAGCTCAAGGCCATGGTAGGACGCAGTGTATTTTCGAAAGAATGGAGTTCTTTAAACAGTGGGATTCAATGTCATGCTTATAACAACGTCCCGTGACGTTCTTCAGTGAGAAACCCATGCAAATCGAGATAGTGAATGAATTAGAGCGGCAGGTAACTCATACTCACATAGTCATCGGAGCTAAAGCAGTGAACACATTGGTATAGTAATACGCGGAAATGAGTGCACATGAGTTAGGATCAAAGTGCATAGGTGGCGTACGCTTAACTATTAATTTCAATTCTTCAGAATGCGGATTAAAAAGCTCAAGAGGAATGGGGAGAATAGAATTCGGAAAAGATAAGAGACGAGGGTCGATCCAGTCAAATAACGAGCGCATCTAAGCTCAAAAGCAGTCTGAATATGAGTGTTAGCTAAGTTCAACTCTCATTTGAAATACACGAAAGTCCTGGTGGTTGCATGCTTAAACGCAATCGGTAGGCAGGAGAGACTGTCATAGGCATAGAATCACATCAATTGAGAGCACGAAAACACAGGTTGGTAAGGAAGTTTTCAATGCGGACTGCTAAACGTGGTACTGACAAGACATAAGGAAAGGTAAAAGAGCGCTCTGTGATCTTCCGGGGAGCAATTTATGTGAGGAAAGGAGTCCTTTTGCAACAGTTGATAGAAATTAGCGGGTTGAGATACGGAATAACTAATTCCCTTCATTAAGCTTCTGGCAAAAAAGAGTATGTAAATGTAACCTCGACTTTTGTGCCGTCTAGGTTTTGAGGACAAAAATAACAGGAGTCATGAAAATTGAATGCAGACTTGTGAATTTGCTCAGATGTCTGCCGAAAATGATAGGTTCGATGGCCAAGAATAAAAATGACTTGATTTTCTAGCTGTTAGTCAGTTCGGTACGTAAATTGCCCTGGCCTTGATAGCGCTTCGCACCCACATAGTGTGTCATGTGGTATTTTTAGAGGTTTATGTTTTTGGTGAACCATGTGTATTCAATGACTACCCGGACCTAGTTAGACTGGAAGCTTCTAGGATGAGAAGTGACGGAGTTGGGCAAATAAATCGCCATCGTAGTATTGCGCGCACAATTGTAGGTCAATCTTTATTCTCAATAGTCCGCTGTAGTGTTGTACGGTTTTGTGACCAAAAAATCTAGTTATATGACTACGATTTTGTCTTGACGCTTTTCCGTTTATTCCACCTCACCCCAACCAATGTAGACCATCTTTTCTGACTGGCTGGTATTCTTTTCAACGCCTTGATCAGTTGCGGTCTGATGTGCGTAGGACGTACTTCCTTCAACTGATTCCAAGTGTGCATCGAGCCATAGTATTCGCCACCAACTTTTTCCTAAGTAAGTTTTTCTACTGAAAGAAATAATGATTCCCGGTGGGTCAATTGCAGAATTATTGTTCACTCGTAAATGCTTACACCCCTAGTGGAACGCACTGATGCTTTTCCTTCGCCATTTCGTTGCATAGGACTATTATCGGGTAATGTCGATCGACACTACTACCGTTGTAGTGTTTTTTTCAGGTACTACTTTTAACCGACCCGAGGTTGACACTGTAAATGGTGGTGAAAGAGGAACACCTTAGTGAGGAAACACTTCCGTCGATCAGACACATTTGGCGGCATGCAAGAAACTACCCACAGAACCGAAGGAGTGACACTTTCGGGCTTTTCAAATAACCGATTTATTTTGGTCTGGATTCACTGTTCAACTAAGAGCCGCTACACTGGCTCAATTCTCGGGCTTTCGTTCTGTGGTGATCTCACGGACTTCACTAGCTGGAACTCAAGCTTATGCACTGAAGCTTGTATGCTAGGCAAGCCAGCGGGGAGAAACCAGACAGAGATCGGCGAGTCCCCGTACTAAGGATAGTCGTATACCGGAGCGGTATGGTTACAAAGTCCTACGATTCCCTGCGATATAAGTGTGAAGACACCAAGATGTTTCCTTTAGACGACTAGCATGCCTATACTCATGGAAACAGTAATTTTGCCTTCTCCGATGATGGACGGGTTCGAAAGGATTCGCCTCAAAACCCACACGACCTGGCACACCCAGTTGACCGTGACCACCAGCGAATCATCTCACATGGTCGAAAAAAAAATTAAAAGTTTCCAATAATCTTATGTGGCTCCGAACGAATCCACTGTACGCAGCAGCATCAGTCGGATTCCTGTGTCTTACTCATTGCACCTTTGGGTCATGCGAGCCCATTTGGGTCAGACTATTCGTCTTGGGA